GTGTAACCCCAGGGTCCTGGTAGCCACCCAGTTTCCTGAGTTCTTCTATATGCCATTGTCTCTTTTCTTCCTTTTCCCTTTCTGTCTTCCTCTTCTCTTCCACTAACTTGCGTCTCCACTCTCGTGTCTCTCTTTCTCCCCAATAGGAGGGGCGTACTGACATTTCTCGCCTCCTCCTTTCCTCTGCCTCTCTTTTAGTTAGACGTACCGATTCCCACTGGCCGGTCCAAGGGTCTCGGATGGAGACCCATTCCCATCCACTCTCTTCCCTCTCTCTCTCCTGACTGACTTCCCCAGCAGCCCCCTCTTCTGGATCTCTCCTCACCTTTCCCGCCCAAACTTGAGGAGTCTGGGTAGCTACCGTTAACCCTCGCATGTCCCAGGTTAGATCTAGGGTGTCCACTGCTTGATGAAGCATCCGTGGTGGGAAGGGCAGGGGAGCTGTTTGCGTGCCCACAGTGGCCTTAGGGCGAGATGGCACTCCCAACATCACCTCTCGACCCGGGGTACGGGTATCACACATTCCAACAGAATACTTAAGAGCAACCAATTTAAATTCCTGACTAAACAAGTTAATGCTGAAAAAGTTGCAAAGTTGGCAACCCAAAATGCAGGAAATGACCTGTGGTGTCATTGACTTCAGTTTTCTCTAGCTGGGCAGGAGGGAATCAGCTCCATTTGGACTTTACTGCCCCTGGAGATTCATCTCCCCTACTAGTAACACTAAACTATTGAAAGGGTCACCTGGAAGCCAGTAATTAAATTTGGTTATTTAAAAGTTCATTTTTTTTCACTCGGATGAACTTGGTAGTGCTCATGTGGTCTCCTGTTATCATAATTCCATAAAAATTGAACCCCAATTCATTAAATTCTGGCTATCCAAATAGTTTGGATTATGCTTCTGGTATAGGATGTGCTCATTACAATTTCACACTACAGTAAGTTGATTTCTAAGACCATATTGTACCCTCTAATGAGCATTTCAGTGCTGCCCACCTGGGATTTTAGATAAAAGTTTGTATTTTAGACTAAATTATGTGGGTTCAGATGGGATTTTCAAGTCCTGTTTTTTTAAAATATTTACACAATGGTGCTAGATTATAGTCTGAGTTTTGTGGCTTTATAATTCCCCCCTTTCCCTACTCCTTTTTCCCTTCATTTTCCTGTGTTCTGTAGCATTAGACAGAAAGCTCTTGAAAGACGAGAAGAAACCATCATGATAGATCGTGCATGTAGACAAGAAACATTTATTTATGAGATGGTAAGGTCTTTCTCTTCTTATTGCTGCACCATCTACATATGTGAACTGTTTGCTGAAGTGAATTCAAGTCCACAACAGCTTTTGTGCTGTAGCACTGCATGGACTTCTTTACTAAAAGCAGAGGGCATTTTGGGTGGTGGCAGAGTTTTTCACCAACGGGAGAGAGGTTAGTTTATATCAGCCTTCCTCAGCATGGTGCTCCCTAGGTGTGCTGGACTGCATCTTCATCTTTGGGCATGTTGACCAGGGATGACAGGAGTTGAAATCCAAGCCATGTAGAGCACACCAAGTTGGTGAAAGCTGCCTGACACTACACCTGCCAAAATTCTTTTTAATGCATGTCTTCATTGTATGTTTGTGTGTGTATATATTTTCTTTGCCCCTTTCACTGTTTTCCGAACGTAAGAGGCTGCAAATCCTCTTTTTTGTTTATTTTATTTTATTATCATTATCTATATCCTGCCTTTCTCTCCACAGGAAACCCAGGGTGGCTCACAACAATTAAAACTGTACAACAGTCACATTTTAAAAAACACTATAAAGCTATATTTTAGAAAAGCAGTTAATCACTATTAAAGCCAAGATTAAAAACGAAATTCAAAACATTTTAAAAAACATTTTAAAATATCTAAATTTAATGTGTATAATTTCTGAAACACCCCCCCTCCATTACTTAAAAGGATGAGAGGAATCAATATAAGGATGAGAGGAATCAATATAAGAGAATCATATACAGTGGTGCCTCACTTAACAATGTTAATTGGTTCAAAAAAAACCATCGCTATGGGAAAACATTGTTTCCCATAGAGATGCATTGAAAACCGGTTAATCCGTTCCAATAGGCACGGATTGCCATCCTTAAGCGAAAAAACCCATAGGAAACATCGTTCGATACAATGTTTCCTCCATTGGAATGCATTGAAGCCTATTCAATGCATTTCAGTGGTTTTGCGATGTCCATTTTTGCAAATTTAAGTGTGTCTTAAAAGGTTCAAAAATGTTTTAAATGCTTGGAATCGTTAGTGCACCTTCTAAAACAGGTGCAAAATTAATTTGGCTTTGATCTGACTTTTCGTTAATTTTTGCTGAATTTTTTCCCCCACCAACTTTTGACAGCTGTCAAAATTTGACAGCTCCATGCTTTCCTATGGGGGAGAAAAAAATTCACAAGAAATTACCGAAGACTCAGAACGAAGCCAAACTAAGTTTGGACAGGTTTTGCAAGGTGCTCTAACAAATCCAGGCATCTAAAACAGTTTCTGAGTCTTCGTTAATTTTTTGTGAATTTATTTCTCCCCCATAGGAAAGCATTGAAACCAACTTTTGACAGCTGTCAAAATTTGACAGCTCCATGCTTTCCTATGGAGGAGAAAAAAATTCACAAGAAATGACCGAAGACTCAGAACGAAGCCAAACTAAGTTTGCACACGATTCAGAAGGTGCTCTAATGAACCCAAGCATTTAAAACAGTTGCTGACTTTTCGTTAATTTTTGCTGAATTTTTTCCCCCACCAACTTTTGACAGCTGTCAAAAGTTGGTGGGGGAAAAAATTCAGCAAAAATTAACGAAAAGTCAGATCAAAGCGAAATTAGGTTTGCACACATTTTAGAAGGTGCACTAACGATTCCAAGCATTTAAAATATTTTTGAACATTTTAAGACATTTTTAAAATTGAAAAAACGGACATCGTTAAGCGAAACAGGGGACCTAAAAATGCATTCGCTATGTGAAGCATGGTCCCAAAATCGCTAAGCGAAAATCGCCCATAGGAAACATCGTTAAAGGATGCATAGAATTCTTTTAAAAAAACCATTGTTAAAAGAAAACATCGCTAAACGAGGCAGTCATTAAGCGAGGCACCACTGTAGCTTAAAAACATAAAAAGAAGAATACTTGGGAAAGGCTGAAGGTCAAATAAGATTGTTGAAGGGAAAATATGTAAAGGTTGGGGCTAAAAGAATTTTAGTAGAAATCTAAGCAAAAAGGAAAGAGTTGGAGACCAATACAGTAAAATCCAGAGAAAATTAATATATTTGAAAAGAGATTTTTTTTTGAGATTTGTAATAAAAATTGTGAATGTTGCCTAGAGCCACTCAGTCTGAAAAAGCTAAGAGTTTGGTTGGAATAATTAAGGAGGAGATGGGGGAAAAGTATACAGTGGTGCCTTGCACAACGAGTGCCTCACACAACGATGAATTCACACAACGATGCCTTTTTCTGTTAAATTTGCTGCCTCACACAGCGATGTTTCCTATGGGGGATTTTCACACAACGATCTCCCTTTTCGCTCCTGTAAAAGTGTCTTACAATGTTTGGACGCTGTTTTAAATTATTGCAATGGTTAGTCCACCTCCTGAAACCTATGCAAACTGATTTTGGTGTTGTTCTGACACTTCGTTAATTTATGATGATTTTTTGTTTTTTCCATTGGAAACCATTAGACAGACCATCCAATGGTTTCCTATGGAGAAAAAACAAAAAATCATCATAAATTAACGAAGTGTCAGAACAACACCAAAATCAGTTTGCAGAGCCCTTTCCCGATCTCCCTTTTCGCTCCTGTAAAAGTGCAAGAGATGGATAGAGATTTGCTAGAATAATCAATCAGAGAAGAAGAAATAGAAGATGCTATTAATAAATTAAAAGTAGGGAAAACTCCAGAAATAGTTGGGTTGGGATCAGAGCATTATAAGAATTCTAAGAAAGTATTGATACTTAAAGTCCTTTTTCAATAAAATAATGGAAGGGGGAGAATTTCTATTATCTTGGAAACATTCATTAATTTTCAAGATGGTGCTAGCACACAGGGCAGGTATTCCCTGTGAGTTACTTGTTTTAATTCTATTTTTTAGTGAAGGCTTCTGTGTCATGAGGTCCTCCAAAGCTTAAGGATATAACTCGCCATTTACCATCTGAGAGGAGGGAATGGGTTTTTGCCTGCGAAGACCTTTTTATCTGGAGAATTAGAAATCCTCCTCATTTTCCATCTGGGCAACCTGCAGAAATCTTGGCCGAGGTGCTGGGGTGGAGCTGGGGGCTGGATTTACAATCCCAGTGGTGTCAGCAAGACGAGCAGCTGCCCTTGGAAGACAGCGCAGCACCAAAGGCTCCCTCACGGATAGATGCTAGCTGCATTTTTCGGAGTGCTGCTGGTCTGGTCTGGTCTGGTTTGGCTGGCTGGCTGGCTGAGATATAAAGAAATGGATGTGTCCTGAAGAGGCATGTCTGGAGAGCAGAGAAGGGCTGAGATGAGAGACTGCACTGGACTGTTGAATGGAAAAAGGTCCTTTCAAAGGGAGCAGACAGAGAGGACAAAGAAGGAGCGGTGCTGAAACCACATCTTCCTTGGGAGAGCTGGTGAGATCGTTCTGGATGATGGGATTACTTTGGACAGTGGCATTTCAGCTGGCCAAGGATGATTGGAACCCAGAGATGAGGACGGTTAAAGCTGTGAATGTGATGATGCTGGGATTCAAAAGACTCTTGTTTGGAGGTTGCTTTCTGGACCTGGTTGGCCCTGCTAACTTGGTGAACACTGATGTGGAACAACGTCAGCTCCCATTTCCCACCTGCCCAGAGCATCTCTGCTCTTGGACTCCCCTCTTTAGTCCAAATATGGCCCTAGCCTCTTGGATCTTTTCTTTGGCATAGTTGCTTTAACACCTAAGATTGTTTTGGTTATTATATGTTTGTTGTATAAACCCACTGTTATTTTTGTTTTATTTTTAGTTTCCTGTATTGTTTAGGTAGTTATTATTTCTTGTTACTCTCCAGTTTTTGTTAGGTGCCTTAAGCCTTATTTGTAAATTTAATATTCAAAAGTTTAGTTTAGGGACCTTTTTTGTTTGTTTTGGGACTAAGTCGGGTGGGATTTATTTATTTATCTACTTATGTTTTGAGCTGGTGGTGAAATTAAGGTCTGGTTTCCAACAACACAAGAGGCGAGACTCTACACATGAAAATCACCAGATGGGCAATACCGAAATTAGATTGATTATGTTCTCTGCAGCCAAAGATGGAGAAGCTCTATACAGTCAGCAAAAACAAGACCTGGAGCTGATTGTGGCTCTGATCATCAGCTTCTCATAGCGAAACTCAAGCTTAAACTGAAGAAAGGAGGAAAAACCACTGGGCCACTCAGGTATAATCTAAACCAAATCCCTTACGAATACACAGTGGAAGTAAAGAACAGATTTAAGGAACTCAATTTGGTGACCAGAGTGCCTGAAGAACTTTGGATAGAGGTTCGTAATATTGTACAGGAGGCAGCAACAAAAATCATCCCAAAGGAAAGGAAATGCAAGAAAGCAAAGTGGCTGTCCAACGAGGCCTTACAAATAGCAGAGAAGAGAAGGGAAACAAATTGCAAGGGAGATAGGGACAGTTACAGAAAATGGAATGCAGAATCCAAAGAATAGGAAGGAGAGACAAGAGGGCCTTCTTAAATGAACAATGCAAAGGAATAGAGGAAAATAACAGAAAAGGAAAAACCAGAGATCTGTTCAGGAAAATTGGAGATATTAAAGGAACCTTTTGTGCAAAGATGGACATGATAAAGGACAAAAATGGTAGGGTCCTTAGAGAAGCAGAAGACATCAAGAAGAGGTGGCAAGAATACAAAGAGGAATTATACTAGAAAGATTTGGATATCCCACAGAACTCAGAGAGTGTGGTTGCTGACCTTGTGCCAGATATCCTGGAGAGTGAAGTCAAGTGGGCCTTAGAAAGCCTGGCTAACAACGCCAGTGGAGGTGATGGCATTCCAGTGGAACTATTTAAAATCAAAAAAATGACGCTGTTAAGGTGCTAAATTCAATATGCCAGCAAGTTTGGAAAACTCAGCAGTGGCCAGAGGATTGGAAAAGAGCAGTCTACATCCCAAGAAATCAGGATACTGATAATTTATGAACAACTATGCAAATTAATAATTTCCAGCTCTGTGCATTCATATAACAATAGCACTCTTAGTCAAACCAACATGGATATTAATATTAAAATCACTGTATGTAAGTGTTTCTTGGAGTGACTTAAATTTCATGGATACAACTGCATTGGTGGAAATTCTGAGAGCCATTTTGGTTAAAAATGTGTTTAACGATTCCTCGAACACTTAACAGTGCAAAAAGAAAAAACTGGGAAAAGAACATTTTAAGGAACTAAATATCAAGTATATCGCCAATTTATTGTTTATTGTTGCTCATTTCTTCAGGATTCTTTAGTCTCCATTGATTGAATGGTACTGAGGAAAGACAGATTAGTAGACTCATTTGCAACCCTTATGCTTCTCTGTTCACTCACTGACCATGGCTGGGTATCTCCTATTTAAGAGAATGCCCTTTTAGCCATCCATTTCCAACTGAAGCACTTCCAGATTCTGATCCTTTGGCTTCACCTGACTTTATGGACAATTGTGCTAAGAATTTCAATTAGCATTCAAGAGATTCATTTATGACTAACAAGATGAGCTGGGATTTGAGTTTTAAAGCTGTTTAAACAAACAGACCATAAAATGGCTAGGTTTTGAATTCTTTCTTCCTTTCTTCCTTCCTTTCTCTCTCTCTCTCTCTCTCTCTCTCTTTCTTTCACTCTGAAGTGAAAAAAAGTTTGAGTAACACTTTTTTTTGCTTTTTTAGGAGTCTCATGCAATTGGAAAGAAGCCAAAAGATCTGGTAAACTTAGTCAAGGAGGGAGAGCTTGTTCTAACTCTCAATATTTTCTACCCTGTTATATTTCAGAAGGTTGGTGATTTCCCTTTTCTTTTTATTCTTTATTCTTTCTATTTTGAAATGTTTTGAAATTATTTTCTTCTACCAGTCTGCACCATCCTGAACATACCAGTTTTGTCTGATTTTGGAAGTTGTATGATTGAATCTGGTTTGCACCTGAATGCGAGACCACCAGGGATCTCTATGTAGGGCCAGGAAAAAAATCCTCCTGAAACTCAGGAGAGTCTCAGCTGGTCAGAATTCATGATATTGCACTAGATAGACCAGTGATCCCTCTCAGTATAAGGCAGGTCCCTGTGTTTGAATGACATCCCTTACTCTGACCATGTGAAATAGTTTTCATAGTTTGGTGAACTCCAGTGTGGAATGAGGAATTTTAGGGGCTGGACCCACTTGAAATCTGAAAATCTGAAAAAGAAGAAAAGAGAAGGAGAATGGAGTGGGAGAGAGGTGGAAAACAAAAAAAATTCTATTTGTTTCTGTATTGAATTACTCTTCGAAACAGATGAGCTGTACTCCTAACCAGAGTACTTGTATTAGTCACTGAAAATCTCACATAAAGCGTTACTGTGCTTTCACAATGCTTTGAACAAATGTGTAGTGTGATCCTGGGATTACTCAGCAGTTACTATTGCTGAGTTCTGTGCTACTTTTTCCCATGTTTGTGTGTGCAGGAGTGCAGTCTTAATTCTAGGCTCGATCCCTGGCGTATCCAAGTGAGGCTTGGAGAGTCCTGAAACTCTGGAGACTGATTGTCAGTTAGTGCAGACTAGAAATGATTAAGTTTTTGCCCTTCAACAGACCCAACATGGCTAGTGGTAAAAAATTTTGTGGGAGTTGAAAAGCCATATATTTGGAGAGCTGCCGAAAGCTTTCCAGCTGGCTCTACTGAGCTACATGGAGTTCATGTGAGGCAGTTTAAATTCTCTGACTTGGTATGAGGCAGCTTCTACTTTCCTACATATTATTGAGGGCCAGTTGTATTCCTCTATTTTACACTGTCAGGGGAAGACACATGTCACAATCCCCTAAATTGTGTGATAATTTGGGTTTTTTTTTCCATTCAAGGAAAAATACTGAAGCCAAAGACATTGTCTATTTAGATATTGCATAATAGCGGTAGAGGCAGGTGGGCTTTAACTCTAGTTTTTATTGCTAATGTTTCTCTGTGGCTTTTGTAGCATAAGCTCCGCAAACCGTATCAGACAATGTTAGTTCTTGGTAGCCAGAAACTTACTGAGCTGAGAGACGCTATTTCCTGTGTCAGTGACCTTCAGATTGGTGGAGAGTTCAGCAGTCATCCTGATCAAGCACCAGAAAACATCAGCAAGGTATCATAACTTTGATTTTTAATATATTTCTAAAAAGCTCTAATCCTACAACAGTAGTTCTTAAGTTATCTTTACTACGGAACCACTTTAAATATCTTTTCTTGCCATGGACCACCAAGACTTAACTCAAGATTTAAAACTATAAAGTGCATCAAATATTTATTTGAAGTTTTTTTCAAACTCTATCCTCAAATCCTATTCATATTAAAAACGAATAGAAATTAAATTTGACCAGAAACAGTCTTTGTTTTCTCCCTTAGGTGGGAGCTACCAAGCACTGGAAAAATGTGTCTTCGGGGTAATAAGATACTCTCCTCCACTGACACTGATTTCGAGATTCTAGCCAGTTGGAGTCAGATGATCTTTGACAATGATAGAAAAGCCAGCTCTGACTTTATGACATTATGAGGATTCATAAAGCGACTTGACTATCTCCTGTCTCTTTTGAAAGATGGCCATTATTTATTTATGGCTATAATACATCACGCACATGCTTGCAGATGAAACCAGTCCTAATGTATTTAGGATTTGGATGGTCCTAAATTATAGATTCCGCAGGTCTTCCACAGACATTCTACACATCATAAAGTTAGCAGTTTGTGTGAAAATAGGTTGAGGAATTGCAACAGTGATACACAAGGTGCTGTTCTGCTGCAATATTACAATTTATGAGAACAAAGGGGGGCATTATATTCCCTCGGCCATTAAACTGTTCCATGCAAAAGCAGTAGCCCAACTACTGTATGGCTCCCAATTGGGCCCCTTCCCAAATATTGCAACCTTAGAATGTGTGCAATCAGAATTCCTGAGGGCAATGTTAGGAGTCCCCAGAGATGCTGCCAACATAAAACTAAGATTGGAAACTGGTCAAATTAAAATCGCAGCCAGGATATGGATTGCAATCCTCATGTACTGGCTCAGACTGTCTTATCTCCCTATTGGTCTAGCACCACTGATCCTGCAAGACACCTTAAAGTAAAAATGGGTTCAATTAATTGAGCAAAAAATAGCCTATTTGGGTCTTTCAAGGTTGACTCTGTTAACCATGGGAATGGAACAGGTAAAGAAAATAATCAAGCAGCTTATTGAGGACATTGAGAGACAAAATGATTTAAGCAGTGCCCAGAATTCTACCTTAGGGAGGACAATTTATACAAGGTCACAGCAGCACCTTATTTTGCCCAGTTGGAGCAGCCCAGGCATAGAAGGGCGTTTACTGTGGCTCAGATTAACGCACTACCCTCAGCAGTGCAGGAGGGACGGTATAAAAGGACCCCCTGGGCAGAGCACCTTTGCCCATGTGGAATGGAGCAGATAGAAACAATTGAACACGTCCTGTTGTGGTGCACATTTTACAAGGATGTACGTGAAGAACTTGTTTCCCCTCTGATTGGCCAATTTCCCGGTTGTACAGAGCAACAATGTATGCATGTGCTGCTATCTGACTCTGATCCCATTCTTACACATAGGGTTGCCAGATTTCTTACTGCTGCAGTGGGCATTAGAAAAAGGACCCTAAAAGCGGATGAGCCTCTGTAGTTAGAGCATGGTTTGTTAGAAATTCTGGAATTGCTTTAGGGGAGATGTTTTGATGCTGTTGTTGTTCACTATTTGCATTTGATCCCAATATTCTTGTATTCCTTTGTATATTTATGTATTTCGATGTTTTATTTGTGGCTGGTCTTTGACCGTAATAAAGTTTTATCTATCTATCAAGTAAGCCATTTATCTATGCAGAGAAGACTGATCATTTTAAAAGACTGTACTTTGATTTATTTTGTCCACCTTACCACTATTGGTAAGGAAATGGTGAAGGGATTGAGCTGGCTTTCTCTGTGTGTTCTGTAATGGTTTTCCATTGAAAAGCAAATGAATAAATGTATCTGTTGTAGAGGCTTTCAAAAGACTTGGACATTTGGGGGGGGGCTTTTTTGCTTGTATGAGTAAGTGACATCACACACACCTAGCCACAACTTCCTCTCCTCTGTACATCATAACTACTTGGAGTGAAGTTGCCATGTGCAGTTAGAACAGAATGATGTCCTGGTAGTCAAAGTTCTGGGCCCTCATGCTTCCCATGGATTCATGCTGGGACTTGCTGTCTGGTGACTGCAATGTTTTCCCCTTGATTTCTAGTATTATATGGCATGAGGCTCTCTCACTTTCCTCTGGACCAATGGGAAAGAGGTTGCCAGTTTCAATGCAAATGATATTTTCTAGCACTCTTGCCATATTCCATGCTGGAAGACATTGAGGAGTCAAGCAGTGATCCTCATTGGATCCTGTACTGTAGACAATATTGTGTCTTATTTTCCTTTGTACTATTCTATTGATTCCTCCTATTCGAAGGCTGGGCCCTGGACTGATATTTCACAGTGCTGATGGTATACATGTAAAGAAGGGTGTGCTGTTTTGCTTATGCTGATTTCCAAACTAGTTCCTTTTATCTTTTAAAAACTATTTATTTTTCCCCCAGGATCTTTACAAGTCTGCCTTTTTTTATTTTGAAGGCATTTTTTATGATGATAGACGGTACCCAGAATGCAGAGACTTGAGCAGGTAAATAAATAATCAACATATGCATGCCTGAACCTGGCAAGTAAGGGGCAGGGGCAGAATGGTTTTGCAATAGATTAGCAGGATCTTGGCATGATTGAGTTGCTGTCCTAAGAAGATGTTTGGTTTTGAAGTGTTTCTGATCTTGGACACAACAGAATATTATCTTGGAAAATGATACAGCAGGTGTGGGATAGGAAGATTAGAGGGGTAAATTCAGAAACATCCCAGAAAACATTGAAAAAACAGATTTAGAAGAGGAACTCTCTACATTAATGCAAGACCACATTGGGATTGAAGAAGGACTACTAGACTGTGACCAGATATTCAGAATTAAATCTAAATTTGCAACAATGAATAAAGTACCAAGATATATTTTAGTTATGTTTTTATATAAGAAAACATGAGACCTTATATTATTCAAATAAAGAACCAACCCACTGGAAGTACATGGGATAGAAATATGGATTTTTCAAGATCTCTCCCCCCCCAGACATATTGAGGAAAAGATAAACATTTGACTTTCTTACACAAAAAATCCATTATTGCTGAAAAATCCCCTTTGCACTGGAAATGATATTCAAAAAGGGGAAATGTATTATACTCAACCTAGATCAAGTAATTGAAGAAATTTTAAAGAGAGATACTCCAAAGAAAGCACAAGAATTTGAAGAATCAGGAAACTCATTACCCGGGAACCTAAGATTATACTTCAACAGAATTACCAAATCCAGCTGTCGAAAGGAAAAATAAAAGGGAAAATAATAATAGGTAAAGGTAAAGGTTCCCCTTACATTTAGTCCAGCCATGTCCAACTCTAGGGGGCGGTGCTCATCCCCGTTTCCAAGCCATAGAGCCAGCGTTTGTCTGTAGACAGTTTCCATGGTCATGTGGCCAATCCAACTAGACACGGAATGCCATTACCTTCCCACCGTGGTGGTACCTATTTGTCTACTCACATTTATATACTTGCGAACTGCTAGGTTGGCAGGAGCTGGGACAAGCAACGGGAGCTCACTCCGTCACGTGGATTCGAACTGCTAATCTTCCGACCTTGCAGCCCAGAGGCTCTGTGGTTTAACCAGCAGCAGCACCACGTCCCTTGTGCCACCATGTCCCTTAAAATAATAATAATTAATGACAAAATAAAATAAAGCAAAACAAACTCAATCAGACCATTGCATTTTACAGAGATGAATCTTTTAAGCATTGCATCAGTTAACATTAATGGTCTGAACTCACCCACAAAATGCTCAAAAACCTTTAATCAACTAACGGAGTTAAAAGCAGATATAATAAGTATTCAAGAAACACACACAGAAAGAACATGAACATATTTTAAACACTAGAAAATTTAGAAAAGCGTATTTGGCAGCAGCCAAAGAGAAGAAAAACAGTGTTGCCTCGCATTATGACGTTAATTCGTTCCGCAAAAATCGCTGTCGAATGAAAACATGCGATTTTAAAAAGCCCATAGAAACGCATTAAAACCCAATTAATGCGTTCCTATGGGCTTAAAATTCACCGTCCAGCGAAGATTCTCCATAGCACGGCCATTTTCGCTGCCCATGCAGCAAGGAATCCGTGCCAGAAAACAGCGGGAGGCCATGTTTTTCACCCAGCGGCCATTTTGAAACCGCCGATCAGCTGGCCGAAAATCGTCGCTTTGCGATGATCGGTTACTGAAACAGGGAACCAATCATCACAAAGCGAAATTCCCCCATAGGGAACATTGTTTTGCAATCGCTTTTGCGATTGCAAAATCTTCAATGTAATGCGATTTCGTCATCAAATGGAGTGCTCGTAAAGCAAGGCACCACTGTATATAAAAACCCAAAGTATTAATGCAGTAGAAGAATGCAAAGACCCAGAGGGAAGATTTATCATGCTGAAAGTCTGATTTCCTGATGAGAAAATCAGTATAGTGGACCCTCTACTTACGGAATTAATCCATATTGGAATGGTGGCTGCAGGTCGAAAAGTCTGTAGGTTGAGTCTCCATTGACCTACAATTCATTGAAAACCGATTAATCCCGTAACCGGCCGTTTTTGTTCCATTTTGGTTTTTTTCTGGTCTGTAGGTCGATTCTCCAGCTGTAAGTCGAACCTAAATTTTGAGGCCAGAGAAGTCTGTAACTCAAAAAGTCTGTAAGTCTAGCCATCTGTAAGTCGAGGGTCCACTGTACAATAATATCACTGTATGCTCCTAACAATGCCAAAGAAAAGTTTTATGAAAAGTTCTTTCAGCTGCTCTTAGATTTTCAGGAAGGTGAAATTATGATATTCAAAGATATGAATGGAGTAATGGATTCCGAAAAAGCCAAGTCAAAGAAAAAAGCAGGGAAACTATCTAGGAATGTATTTAAATATATGGGAGTATTACACTTGATAGGTGATGGAGAAAAATTAACCCACCTAAAAGAGATTATACCTTTTTCTTAGACAAGCATCAAACTTATTCTAGAATTGATATGTGTTGGTTATCAAAAATCCTGTTAGAAACTTAGAAAAAGCTGAAATCCTACCAAAACCATAGGAGTTCATGGCGCAGTGGTTAAACCGCTGTACTGCAGCCAAAACTGTTCTCACGACCTGGGGTTCAATCCCAGGTAGCCGCTTGGTAAAATGAGTACCCAGCTTGCTGGGGGGGCAATGTGTAGCCTGCATCATTAACTTGTAAACCGCCCAGAGAATGCTTGAATCACTATAGGGCGGTACATAAGCAGCACACTTTGCTTTGCTATCAAGATGATATGGAGGAAGGAAGGAACTAGAAGGAGACGATGGAGACTAAATAATAATTTACTAATGCGAGAGGTTATTCTTAAAAAGTGCGGAAAAAAAAGACCTGGAAGATTTTTTTCAATATAAATATAACAGATTAACTCCCTATCACAGCTATTTGGGACATGAGCAAATCATTTATAAGAGGAAACCTGATTGTGGTAAAAAAGAAGAGAGAGAAAATAAAACAAACAAGAAAATTAATAGATAAAATCAACCTGTTATAAAGACAAAAAGAATGGTGACGAATAATGAGAGAAATCAAGAAACTTAAAACTCAACTAGATCTTACAAACTGAAGAGATGCAATAACAAACTCTTATTTCTCAAACAAACATTTTGAATATGCAGATAGAAAAATGGTAATAGGTGTGAAAACAGCAAAGGAGATCACATACAGTATTTGTCTCCTATTTTACACAGTAATATAAGAAAGAAAAGCTATCAAAAGAAAGAATTGAAGAATATATAAAGAATATACAGTAACTCCAAACTTTTCACCTGAAAACATATATTTTAATCAAAAAATATCAAAACGAGATATTCCTGGCAATAAGAAATCTGAAAATGGACAAAACACCAGGACCAGATGGACTGACAGGAATCTGTTACAAAAGGCTTGAGGAACTTACAACGCCCCTAATGAACCAAATAAGAGAAACAAAAGAACAAAACAAAAGAACTCCCACCATCCTGGCAAGAAGGATACCGTATTTGCCGGTGCACAAGGCGACCGGCCGTATAAGACGACCCCACCAACAGGAGGAGGAGGAAGAGGGGAAACGGGGGGTGGCGGGCGAGCGAGCGCGCGGCTGGGTCAGCGGTACGGGGCAGCGGGCAGCCCGGCAGCGGCTCAGGCATGGCAGCGAGAGGGCAAGGAAGAGCAAGAGGCTTAGGAGGAGGAGGAAAAGGGAAACGGGCGGGCGGCGGGCGAGCGAGCGCACTGGCTAGGCAGCAAGAGGGAGAGGAAGAAGGCAAGAGGCTGAGGAGGAGGAGGAGGAAAAGGGAAACGGGTGGGGGGCGGGCGAGTGAGCGCGCTGGCTCAGCAGCGGGAGGGAGAGGAAGAAGGCAAGAGGCTGAGGAGGAGGAAAAGGGAAATGGGTGGGGGCGGGCGAGTGAGCGCACTGGCTAGGCAGCGAGAGGGAGAGAAAGAAGGCAAGAGGCTGAGGAGGAGGAGGAAAAGGGAAACGGGGGTGGTGAGCGAGTGCACCGCTGGCTCAGCGGTGCGGGGTGGCGGGCAGCCCGGCGGCGGGCTCTGGACGCTCAGGCATGGCAGGCTGTGCTTCCCTCCTTCCATACAGACCGACTGCCTGCCTGCCCGCCCACCCTCCTCCTCGGCCAGCATGGCCCCGCGTCATTCAGTGCACCCGGCGTACAAGACGACCCCCCACTTGGAGGCATGTTTTGTAGGCCCAAAAAGTCATCTTGTACGCTGGCATATACGGTATATAATATTAATTTACAAAGAAGGTAAAAATGCACTACAATTTCCCTATTTAATGTGGATTACAAAATCTTTGCCTCAGTAATGGTGAACAGACTCAAGAAATGTATCACCAAACGATACACTCTGATTAGATGAGATTTGTTCCTAAGTGACTTATGTGAGATAATATAAGATTTGTAATAGTTTAAATGGAGTATGCAGGAAAAAAAACCCAACAACAAACAGCATTTATGTTCATGGATTCAGAGAAGCCATTTAATAATATTTCTCAGAACTTTCTAAGTAAAGTTTTGCAACATCTCGAATATGGAGCAAAGTTTGGAAATTGGATTCAAGGACTTTCCAAAAAACAAAATGCAAAAATATTAATAAAAGCTTTTCAGGGTTGTCCATTATCACTGTTGTTGTTTATCTTAGCAATGGAGATTTTTGCAAGCAAAATAAGACAAGACAGCCAGATCTGAAAATAGGACTGAAAATAGATGGCGAGCTGTTCAAGTTATGTTGATGATGCCTATTTTTCACCCATTAGGTTCGATGCAACGAGTAATGGCACAAATAGCAAAGTTTGGCCTCCGCCCTGGCTTTAAAATTAATAAAACCAAAACCAAAATAATAGCATTTTAAAAAACAAAACAAGAATGAAATGATCTTATAAAACTTACAGGGTATGAACTCATGGATAAACCAATAAAGTATCTCGGCATTTATTTAACAGAAAACAATAAAACATTATTTTATGACAGTTATAGAAGAGTATGGGGAAAATAAAGAAAAATTTGAAAAGATGAGACAATCTAAAACTCTCTTGGCTGGGAAAAATATCCGCTATAAAAATGAATATAGTACCAAAAGTCAACTTTTTGTTTCAAATGATTCTAATTCCAGTTCAAGAACGAATCTTAAAAGACTGGCAAAAACAAATAAATCCATTTATATGGAGCAGTAAAAAACCAACAATAAGATTCACAGTACTACAAGATAAAAGAGGTCTGGCAGTATCTAATATTAAATTATGAAGCAGCAGTTTTAGTATGGATTATAAATAGGATTAAAAAAACCCCAAATGACAGGTTAATGAAACAGGAATCATAAAATCAAAGTGAAGACCTAAATAATCTTTTATGGATTTAAAAAAGAACTAAATCTCATTATAAAAGCCATGTAATCAGGGATAGCCTCCTGAAAACACAGGATTCTCAAAAATTGAGGATTAGCCCAATAGTGTCTCTGATAATAGCACCCACAGATACATACTACAACAAGCAAGAGAGAGTGTGCCTCAATTTTATAACCTTTCAGGATATGATAGACTCACAAGGGAGAATTAAGTCATGGCAAGTAATAAAAGAAGAAGGAAAAAAGATAAGCTGGCTATCCTAGCATCAGATAACTTCAAGATATAAAGAAGACACACAAGACAATAGGGGAAGATGATTAAGAAATTTAAGAGAGTTTGAGAGAATAATCACACAAAAAATTGAGCAATTATTAGGACATATCTATAAATTACAACTTCAGTTTGACACAGAAATGGAACCAGTCAATATCAAAGTGGATACAGAATCTTGGAAAAGAGATAACTTTTCAACAATGGGAAAGATTATGGAAAAAACCATGAAATTCACAGCATGTAAAAATCTAAGAGAGAATTGGTACAAAATGTGTTATTGATGGTACATAACAAAATATGGATAAAAGTTTTACAGGTCTCTCTTGGAAGTGTCAGGAACTTGAAGGCTCATACCACCCCATGTGGTGGACTTGTAAAAAGACAAAGAAATTCTGGAAAGACATTCATGCTGAAATAAGGAAAATCCTGAAAGTTGAATTTGAGATGAAGCCAGAGACAATGCTGACAATACCACCAGAAAATCTGGAAAAGTCCACATAATAACTGTTTAACTATATGTTAACAGCAGCCAGAGCAACAATGGCTAAGGCCTGGAAAACAGAGACACGCCCATCAACAGAAGATTGGAGACAAAAAATGTTTGAATATGCTACAGTGGCTAAACTTACAAACTGTATCAACAGAAAACCTTGTCAAAGAATTTGAAAAAATGTGGGAAAATTATTTTGATCACATAAAAAGGTGCATAAATAATGCTATATAAATACAGCAGTGCCTCGCCTTACGAACATCCTGACTTACAACCGTTTCGAGTTACGACCAGCTCCGGACACAAAATTTTGCTTCAACTTGAGACTGGAACTTTCAGTTACGAACACAAAAAGGCAGGGGGAAAAGGTGGGAAATTCAAATTGCTAACTGTTGGTGGCGAAGTGGCTGCTTCTTTCGCTCCAGCCATTAGAGTGAGTGCGATTGCAGGGAGCCTTGGTACTGCCTGGTAGGGTAAGGTGCTGCTTTCTGCTTTTTAAAAACTGCCTGTTCTGAGTGGGTTTTGCAGGGTGAGTTTGGGCTAGGGGGTTTATGTTTCTGTGCTGTCAATCTAGTTCTGGGCCTAATTCAAAGTGCTGGCTTCTACCTATAAAGCTCTGTATGATTTGGATCTAGGCTATCTGAAGGACTCCATCACTCTGCATGAGTCTTCCCAGCTCTTAAGAGCTTCAGGAGAGACCCTTCTGTCAGTCCCACCACTTTCACAGCACATCTGGTGAGGATGCGAGAGAGGGTCTTCTGAGTGCCTGTTCCGAGGTTGTGGAATGTTCTCTCTTAGGAGACCCAGTTAGCCTCCTTCCTCCTGTCCTTCGGGAGAAAGGTGAAAGACCTTTCTTTTTAGACAAGCTTTTAACAACTGAATTGGGCAATGGAATGTTTTAATTTGGGATGCTGCACATTACTCCTGTCATTGTTATTATTGTTGTGTGTGTTTAAAGGTGTTTTTAACGTGGTTCTAATTGTTTTAATATTGCATGGTTAATTGTTTTTAATACAGTAATTTTTGTGCCAGTTGCTTATTGAGTTATGCTGACATGCAACAACTAGTATTATTTTGGAGGCGAATTGCCCCAAGATAAGAACTCATTGTAGCCATTGTCATTTTCATACTGAATTGTATGATTCAATGTGGAACTGATGTCTTTGGTGGTTCCTTAACTTGGGGCAATTTGGCTCCAAAAGTTACACCATTTGTGTGGATTTTGACTATTGTGTTCAGTTGGCTTGTTTTTTAGTAACTTGTGGCCCTTTTGAGTCCATTCACTGGGAAGCAGGCAGCATAAAAATGCCATCAACCAACCAACCAACCTCTCTTTTAATTTTGTCAATAATTTTGTCAATTCTCTTAATTATTTTAGTAATAACACTGATTGTTGTAATTTCAGCACAATTATTGAGTGGGCAGAATCTCGTGACAGAGGCTACACAAATCTTCAGTCTACTAAAATGGAAGACTACACGTTTAATGACTTGAACGTTAAAATCGGCTTTCCGTACCTTTACTGTCACCAAGGAGACTGTGAACATATTGTTATCATTACAGATATCAGGTGAATGGCTGTTGGCACGGCTGCTCGGATTTCTTGAATTTTGGAGCTTCTTTTAAACTTACTATAGCTTGTTTTCCTGGCCTCATCACCGACTTGTACTTAATGTACTGGCAATGCAGATGTTCTTCTAGGAATGTGTTGAAGAAGCTGTTAATCTGTCACCAGCTGGTAGTATAAGAGGGATGGGGAAAAATTGGGCTTGCTCTGGGCTAACCTTTCTTCCAGCCACTTCTTCCATCTTTTTTATTTAACCTGACCTTCCACATAATCCTTCCTCCAGATGTTTTAGATGACAATTCCCACTATGCTGGCTATTTGTCTTGTTGGCTAAAGAACTATAATCCAAAATAATTTGAGGATGGCAGTTCAAGGAAGGCTGCTGAATATTCTCAGCTGTTGAGCACATTTAGTTCTTCGTGGGCTTTTTTGTTTGTTGTTGAGGGAAAGGTTATCTATTTAGCATAAAAATATATTTTTGTACTTCTGTGTATTCTGACATGCAAATACCTTCCTTTCTCTTTGTGGCATGGTTTTCATTAGGATTTTCTGTTACCAGAAGTGATAGAACAGGATATCTGTGTCCACATCCTAAAACCACAACTGGCACCAATAATTAGAAGAAAGTAATTTCAAATCCAGTGTGGATCAGTTGAGGGCCTTCTTTTCAGTGGGGGGAGGTGACTCCACTTTCCTTGGTACCCATTTGAACCCTGCCCACTTCAGTCCTACACCTTGTAATCAATGGGTGAACAACATGCTGTTTTTGCTGTTCTCAGATCTCCCCACTACTGTGTTTTAAAATGTTGTTCAGAAGGGAGAATTGCCACTCCAGGTGCAGTTTTGAAAAACAACGTTGAGGGAAATCAAATGCTGGAAATGTTGGCCTCTAAAATTGGTCCCAGAGCGTTGAGGTCATCCACCTCTGTTCTAATGAATGGGAGCAGATATCAGCCATTTGAGATTATCTTTCCTCTCTGTTGGGTCTCTCTTGGCCTATAGATAGCATTTGATTTCATAGGAGGGGGGGAGTGAGCTTCAGGGACAGTGTTGAACGGCACAGCCAAAACTAGAGGACTTGCAGAATAGCTGACAGCCTTGAGCTCCATTTTGTTATTTAATTTTGGGTGCTAACTTTTAACTTCCAGTAAAAAAAGATAAATGTTTTCTCTCAACATTGTGCTCTAAAATATTTTGTTAACCCTTGCACAAAACTATGAAGTTACATTTTTTTAATAGCACAGGAGTGTTTGTTGAGTGTTATATTCTAATGTGTTCCTTATTCTTTCTCTGTGCAAGGCTTATTCATCGAGATGATTGTCTGGATAGGGGCCTCTATCCCTTGTTAACCAAGAAACATTGGCTGTGGACCAAGAAATGTTTTGTATGCAAAATGTATACAGCCAGGTGAGTGATGAGATGTGCATTGCATCATGACAAAATTGGGTTTGATGCTCAAGTCCCTTAAAGGAATATTTACATATGCTTTGCATTTTGCTCGTACAGCTGATAGTGCAAGAACAAGTAAATAAGTGCTTTGGGTGAAGGCTGCTATATGAACCAATACTTTCAGTGTGTGAGAAATGCATGATATAACCAGTAATTTGGCCCACGAGGAACTGTGATCCTCTTGGTCTTGCTCCATGAAGTACTATATGTTACCAGAAATTACTGCATCTATGGTCCAATACTAGTACCCCTAGTGCCAATGCTGGTAACTTCCTTTCCGTTTTGATAATTTCCTTTCCTTTTTGATTCCAGATTAAGACCTGGTTATTTGTTTTTTGATCATAGAATCTTTTCTGCACAGTTACAGCAGTCTGATACCTCCCTAACTGCCAGGGATCCATCCTATTTGAAGTTTAGTATGGTACCATATTCTGACTAGAGATTGCTGCCCTGAATTTCAGTATTAGCTTTCAATTAGAGAATTCTGAATACCTCACCAAACTATAACTGGGAGTGTTGCTTTAGAGCTCAGGAGTCGTGGATTCAAATCGCCACTGAGCTGTGGAAACTCACAGGGGTATAAAACCACTCCTAAAATATCTCACACTCCTTGAAAACCATCTTAGGGTCATGACTTATTTGATGGCAGTCAGCATGCACAAAATTGAAAACAGATGTTTGAGAGAATTCACAGGCTAGTAATAATCCAACGTGTGTTATTGGGACCACTTGTGGTGATCCAATAGTGATTATTCACTATTATTGGAGGCTTTCGCAGGATAGAAGTGAGCCCTAGGGAGCCCTGAACCTAAGGAGGATAGGATGTTTTAAGGTGATCCAAATTTTTAATTCAAGATTGTTTTTAATGTTTATCTGCTTCTAATTATTAATTTTAATTAGCATATAGTTTAATTGTGTTTTAATGTTTAACTTATGTTTTTAATTCTATTCTTTTAATATTGTGAGCCACCTTAGGTCCTCTTTTTGAGGAAAAGGCAACCTATAAACAAAACAAAACACAAATAAAATAAAAATCCCATTGCTTATGTCATGTGGCTTGCATGGGATATATTACGCTGAGAGCACTCCAGCCAATATATTTCACTTTTTGAACAAGTTACAGCCCTTATTATAATCAATCACCACATTTATTTAGCAGGCAGGACAACACTGATGGCTGGGTGAGATAATGTGGCACTTGCAAATATAGTTATTAGAGTCAGATGAGTTACTGGTGAAAAAATGAATCTAAATTTACTGTTTTATAAATTGCCACTGTACATTTCATATCTAAAAGGTGGTACCTTATTTATTCCTCTGCATAGCGTTGTTTGCCATTGAGGCTGAAATCCTGTGCATACTTGTTTGCAAGCAAGCCCCTATGAATTTAATGGATCTTTCTTCTGAGTAGGCATGTGGAGGGCTGCAGTATTGGAGCTGGCCATAGTTTAGTGGACAATCAGATCAATTTACTCTATAGAGTAGTGTTACGATAAAAACATGATGCAATTGTTTTATGCTAAAAACAGTAGATCACAAAAGACTTGATTTTATATATACTGTGCAACCTGTATGCTCAAAAGTGGAACGATCTGGCAAGTAATTGGATTCTATGTTACAGTAATCTTTTTTTTTTTGTCTTGGATCTACAGATGGGTGACCAACGAAGACAGCCTTGCTCCGCAGGACCCTTCTTTTTTTTGTGATGTTTGTTTCCAAATGCTCCATTATGATACAGATGGCAACAAATTGGGAGAATTCCTTGCCTATCCTTATGTTGACCCTGGGATTTTCAACTAAGGGTCTATTGAGAAGGAAGATGACAAATTGTGATAGTCTTCAGTAGCTGCTAGAACATGGACGATCAAAAACTGCAGTTAAGCTGTGACCAAACAGTATTTTTTTAGTCATGCTTGTTTGTATTTATCTTGCCACCCATTCAGATAGTGACGGCATACAGAAAGTACAGATCATGTTAAGTATTAAAGCTGCATGTGTGTGTGTACATGTTTTTAGTGCATTCTTGGTTGACAATGATCAGAATAATTTCCCTCAGTTACAATTGTTTTTAAGGTTACGAGATTCCGAAGGCTGATGAAAGCTGAGCTCCTGTTCTTTAAAATGTCAGAATTGAATGGGTATATAAAAATTCACCTTCAATCTCTCTGCAGTGAATGTTTACTATTAAAGCAGTTCCCGAGAAGATGCCGTTTTCAGAGAATAAATATAGACCTTGTCACGGTCCTGGCTGTCCCTTGGTTGTTTCACCAGTAGCTACGTGTTTATTATTAATCACAGAGGACCAGGCAATGTGTAATTTAAAAAAAGAACCAAATAGATGTTGTTTATTGTTACAGGTGATGAAGATACAATCAATGTGGTTAACTCTTAAAACATCCTTTTTCATACACTCTCAAATACCAACACTTTCGCTCCACTCCAAACTCCAAAATTACCCAATCCTCCTAATCTCCAACCTCCCTCCTCCTTCTCCTGCGGAGACTCTTATATCTTGTGACTCTGCCTCTCCAGCACTCTCATTGGTCCATGCAGATAGCACATTAATATTCATGACCTGGAATATTAATACCTCTAATTTCCCAAGCAGTGGGAGAAGGAAAGAAGCACTTTGGGAGCTGCTGTAACAGAGATGATCACCACCAGTATCTCACTAGGCATGCCTGGAAGAGGGACTACCTTATTCTAGAGCAGGAGTAGGCAACGTCCAGGTGTCCAGGGGCAAAACCCACCCCAGAATCCTGGAGGATAACCGTTACATCTGCACATTGTCAGCCCCACTCACTCTAGTGGTTGCAGGAATTATTTTTCCGTATTTTTGGCTGTACAGTGGTGTCTCGCTTAACGATGTTAATTGTTTCCAAAAAATAGCTGCTAAGCGATTTCATTGCTAAGCGAAACGCGGTTTCCCATTGAAATGCATTGAAAACCGGATAATCTGTTCCAATAGGAACAAATTGGCGTCCTTAAGCGAAAATCGCCATAGGAAACATGGCTAAGTGAAACGCAGTTCCCCAATTGAAATGCATTGAAACCTATTCAATGCATCTCAGTGGGGGGAAAATCCAACAACAAATTAAAAAAGAGTCAGAACAAAGTCAAATTTGGTTAACAAAGGGTTTATTAAGTGCACTTTATGATTTCAAACATTTTAAACAGTAAACTTTAGCTTTATAAATAACAGAAAAACATTTAAAAAACAGCAAACATGAGGCTGTTTAAACCATCGTTAAGCGAAAGAGGTGACCCAAAATTTAATCGCTATGTGAAGCATGGTCCCAACCATCAATGAGCAAAAATCGCCCATAGGGCCCATCGTTAAATGAAGCGTAAAAATGCTCCGAAAAAGTCGTCGCTAAGCAATTTCGTCGTTAAACGAAGCAATCGCTAAGCAAGGCGCCACTGTACTTGAGCTGGCCTAAAAACTTTTTCTTGAAAGTAAATTCTAATTTTGAATGTAGGCTCCCCTCAGCCTGAAACAACTCAGGAGGACTCCAGAACATGGGGATGTTGCTTTACCTCATAGAAAGTACAAAGAGCCTCCTTTGAGTAAAAAAGTGCTGGGGGGGCATTTGGGCCCCTGGGAGGCTCTCTGTGTTCTGCAGCCTGGTCTTTATCCATCCTCCTTTACACAGTTCTGATTATTTGGAGGCTGAGTTGAAAGCCAGTATCTGTCTTCCCTTCAAGGGCCTTCTCTTGTCTCATTTGCTTTAGGGTCCATCGCTAGAAATTTTGCCCATGTTCTGTCTGAAATCTTTTAGTTAGCTTCCATTACATTAATGCTAGACTCAGGTCTATTGGAGGGAAAAAGGACTGTTGCTGTATCTCTCCCCTTCAGGAGGGGATCCAGTTCTGGATCTGTTATTAACTTGTTTTCCTCTGTGACAGAGGTAGGCAGGTCTCTCTAGCACATATTACACTGAACATGCTGCCTTCTGTGCTTAATTTTGGACATTCAACATAATTTTCCATTGTTTTCTCCATGTGTCTCTCCCCTTTGTAACTTATTTATCTGTAAACAAGTTCCAGATATCCCTTAGTGTACTGACAATTTACATAAAAATAAATGGATCCACAGTCTACCTATTGTTTAAATTGCTTTCTTTTTTATCCAGTATCTTGGGTTAAAATAACTATTTCACATCAGGCTACTGTAATCAAAGATTTGGCTGTGATCTTATTTGTTTATGCTAGGGATGGAGAACATGCTGTACTTCAGAAGTTGTTGGATCCAATTCACGCAGTCACTTACAGTTAGCCACGCTGGCTGAGGCTGAGGGGATTTTTAGTCCTAACAGCTTCTGGAAGGTTACACATTCCACACCTACTTCCACTATGCAATTGAGGCTTTTTATACAGTTTTACTTATTTATTATATTTATACCCCGCTCATCTAGACTGAAGTCTACTCTGGGCGGCTAACAGTTCAAGGTGGGGAGAAGAAGAAAAAAAAATTCAACTGATGACAGGAGGGAAAGCCTGCCTAAAGAGCCAGGTCTTAAGCCTGCTCTTAAAAACACCCAGAAAGGGAGCCAGACAGATCTCTGCATGCGGACTATTCCAGAGTCGAGGGGCCACTGCCAAGAAGGCCTGGTTTCTTGTTCTTTCTCTCCGGGTCTCCCTTGGCGTTAGGCCCCTCAGTTGCCCTTCGGCTCTTCTAGATCTAGGCGGGAGGAAGTGATCCGCTAGATATCAAGGTCCTAAACTGTTTAGGGCTTCATATGTCCTCCTTAACACTTTGAAATCAATGTGGAAACGAACGGGCAGCCAATCCAAGGCAGCCAGAGTGGGGGAAATAGGCTGACATTTTCTCACCCCAGTGAGAAGTCTGGCTGCCTCGTTTTGCACCATTTTAAGCTTCTGCATCAATCTCAAAGATAGCCTCACGTAGACTGTGTAGCGTTCAGCCCTGCCCTCACCTGTCCATCACCGCTGAGCAGTGGAAAAGGAGCCAATGAGAGAACGGAAGGTGGTGCTAAAGGGGGAGGTGCTGGGATATAAAGGGGGGGGGCCTATGGCCTGAGATAATAGAGGCTTCAGCGTGCTCACAACATAAACTGGTGTCCAGCGGGTGGGATACGTACTTGATCCAGTAACGCCGTGGAGTAGAAAGGTGCCCAGAGCAAGAAAGATCTTTAGTCAGGGAATTTGAGCGGAAAGGAGTGGGTAAATCTCCTAGAGCTTTCTCAAGGGGAGAAGGCTTAGTAGGAGGGCTTCTGAGCTCAAATTGGGGACTAAGATAGGGACAGGCTCTGAGGAAACTATTTCTGGAATGAGTTTACCCCAAGCAGAATCTGTGACCAGTTGGCTAGCTTGTCCTGAGCTCAAAGGATAGAGTTTTGAGGGGACAAAGCGAAGGCCAAGGGCAGATAAGCTGAGGGAGCTCAAGTCAGCTAAAACTGGGAAAGGTTGAAGCTGTTATTTAGGGTTATTTGGTGCCTGAGGCAGGGAGAGAAACTCCGTCTTTGGTGAAAGGCCTGGCTGGAAGACAGAGGCCTAGACACAGTAGCTTACCAGTAGATGAGTGCTGGGGAATCAACTTTATAACACCGACTCTCACTGAAAGGAAAAAAAAGTGTAAAATGTGGGGCTTGAAAGTTGAATAAGAAGCCTGAATAAAGAAACATGCCTTCCACATGTGGGAAGAAAGCTGAAAAAGTGCCTATTGAGATGGCAGTTGGTTCAGATAAAGAGAATGGGGAATCTGAGGAAGAAATTACCTCAGATCAAGAAATGGAGACCTCCAAGGGGGAGGACTCTATAGAATTCAGAAAGTGGAAATTGGAGCTAGAAATGAAGGCCAGATCTGAAGAAAGACAGCAGAATTTAGAACTGGAAAAAGAAAAAATGGCCTTAGAAATGGAGAAACAAAAGATTGACTTAGAAATAGAGCGTATGGCATTTGAAATTAGGAGGCTAGAGCTGGCAGTTCAAGCTAATAATAACAACAATGGCCGATCTAATTCTGAGGAGAGACATTTGTACAAGGCAGACTTTAAAAGATTCCCAGTATTTAGGAAGGGGGATGACCCTGAATCTTTTATAATGTTTGAGCGAGCGTGTGAGGATTTTGAGGTGAGGGGATCTGAACGCATGATGGTGATGAGGTCTCAAATTAGTGGAGGCCTAGCAGACATTTATGCAGAGATGCC